TGGGCATAGACCAGTTGTTCTCAGATAAACGTTACCTAGACATATATTTCTTGATCTGCTATGTATAATTTGTCAATAGGTTGTAGGAGTAATATTCAAAACTAGGTAGGCATTGTTTATTTCTCATATTGTCTCACCCCTCCATCATGGTTTTCCCACTTAAGGTGCTCCCATTTCCCCACTTTCTCCCTTATTAATACCCTTCTCCTATGGTCCTACCTCTCTTGAGCTCCTTCTTTCCCTTTATCCCCTAGGTTCCTTGTATACCCTTCCCTCCCCCCTCCCTTAAACTAACCCAATTTTTATCCATATCTCCTTTGTTCCTGCTGTTCTTCTCTTTCAGGTTATTTCTTATCCTTTATCTCAGTGTTTCCTTTCCATTATCCTGGTTCTAGTTATGTCTGGTTGCATATTTATTTATCAGAGTCTGGTTCTAGGATCCACATATGAGGGAGAACATATGTCAAAAAAAATAAAATATTTTAAAAAGCATTTATTGGGGACTCTAAGCCAGGAAATTTGGATATTTTACATGTTGGTGAATGTTGAATGCTCGTAACTTTGAAGTAGATTTTATTATAATCATGTTATAAATGATGAAATTTTAATTTTGTAAGCCTTATATTTCTCTCAAGATCTTTTTCTTAGCTTTCTGTCATTTGTGTTGCAGTAAAGAACTCCTCAGTCGTGTGTGTGGTGTGGGTTTGCTTTCCTGAAGAAGTGCTCTTCCTCAGGATGTGTCTTCCTGTGCAGGGGGAAAAGACAGCCAGGTCCTAGCTGTGTGTTTGTTCTCAAAACTTTGCCTCAGAAGTCTGATAAATTGCTTCCACTTACATTTCACTCGAGAATGCAAATCAGAAACGGCCAAGCTTCATGGTAGTGTGTTGATAAGAAATCCAGAGTTAGAAACTTTGAGTGCAACAACTTTGTATTTTGGATTTTTGGGATAGGGATACAGAGTATTTTATGTAAATACTCAAATCTGAATGCATTTCAGACGAAAGATATTCAACCTATAATTTAAAAGTAACTTTTGTTTGACTTTAGGACTTTTCCTTTCTTTCCTTAACTTCTGAGTTTATCATCCTTTCCATCAGCCTGCTATCAAATGATAGTAGTTTCACTTGCTTGTGATAGATCAAATACTGTTCTAAACAGTTCATACTGTATATTATTAGCACATGTAATCCTCACAGTAATACAGAGTGGTATATGGTATGTAATATTATTTTATAAATGAGAGGATGAGTCAGAGTGTAAACAGCTTGTCCAGAGACAAGTGGTAAGTGGCAGAGTTTGCTTTGGTTGAATGAGGAATTTTGTTGCACTGAATGTTACTTGAGACAAAAGAGACCATTGTCAAGTATTTAGCAGTTGTCACAGTTGTTTATTTCATCTGAATTAAAAAATATTTGAGAGGCTGGAGAGATGGCTCAGCAGTTAAGAGCACTGACTGCTCTTGCAGAGGACCTGAGTTCAGTTCCCAGCACCCACATAGCAGCTAACAACCATCCAAAACTCCAGTTCCAGGGGGATCCAACACCCTCTTCTCGTCTCTGCAAGCATTGCTCACACATGGTGCTCCCACATCCATGCAGGTAAAACACTCATATACACAAAATAAAATTAATAAATAAAATATTAAAAAAATATATGGGGCTGGGGATGAAGCTTAGTGGTAGAGCACTTGCTAGTCATGTGGAAGACCATAGGTTCATTCCCTAGTATTTTATTTTATTTTATATTTTTATTTTATTTGTATGCGTGTATTGCCTACATGTAGGTAAGTGCTCCTGTGTTGTGCAATGCCTGCAGAGGTCAGAAGAGGCTGTCGGATCCCCTGGGACTGCAGTTATGGACAGTTGTTAGCTGCCATGTGGGTGCTGGGATTTGAACCTGGTCTTCTGCAAGAACAACCAGTGTTCTTAACCACTGAGCCATCTCTCCAGCCTCAGTCCCCAGTATTTCAAAAATAATATTTTTTCTTTCTACATAATGTAAGTGGAATAAGACTAGTGGTTTTGTGCTGGTAATAAGGTATGCCTAGGGTCGAAGCTGGTTGCAGTGGTGCATACCTGGATAACAAGGACTGCTGCTCTGAGAGAAATGAGTGGGAGCTCTGATGATCACTTGGGGAAACCTGGGTGTTCTTTACTCAGTAATGTCTGTAGCTGCTTTTTTTCTCCATTTAGCACTGAACCTTCCAGATGTATTTGGGCTGGTTGTCCTCCCATTGGAGCTGAAACTACGCATCTTCCGACTCTTGGATGTTCCTTCCGTTCTGGCTTTGTCTGCAGTCTGTCGTGACCTCTTCATTACCTCAAATGACCCCCTGCTGTGGCGGTGTTTGTATCTGCGGGATTTTCGAGGTGATTTACATAATGACATGTTAACAAGAAAAGGCTGCTTCTCATCATGGTGCCGTGGTGTTACTCAGCTGGCTAAAAAGTTTTTATTTGTGGGTTTATTTATTTTCTTGTCGTTTTGTTTCGAGCTGCAGATGGTAAGGAATTGTTTTAGAGAGACCCTGGGCTTTTAACTTTGCCTTTGCCACAAAAATTCTCCCCTTTCACTTATGTGTTCTGCAGTGCAGCTCTGGGTTCCATAGATGATTATTTCAGAATAGAAAACTAGAAGAGACGTTTATTCTCTCCCTGAAGACCATCTCCAGTGTGACAGAAATACTACATTTCCACCCTGCTGCCCTGGTTGGGCCAGTGTGTCAACGTTTGGCGTGCTGCTATGGCAGCTTTGTTTCTGGTAGTCACGTTTGTGACCTGGTGATCATCACAGCAGTGATGGCCACAATAGAACTTGTGAGCCACAATTTCCAGATTGAGGCCCAAAAAGCCTGATTATGGAACTTCTCTTCTGCCATTATGTGTCACCACATAATCTGTTTTTGAAGCTGTTGTTTGACTGTGGAATGGGTCATGAAATTAATGGGTCATTTTACAAAACAGGAAACAACTGAAGCACAGTAGAAAGGCAGGAATAAACTGGATCAGTTAAACTCAGTGTGTTGCAATGTAAGATATTTGTAGGGGCTGGAGAGATGGCTTAGTAGTTAAGAGCACTGGCTGTTCTTGTAGATCTGAGTTCAAATCCCAATACCCACACAGCTGCTAACAACTGGCCATAACTCCAGTTCCAAAGGATCCAGTGTCCTTTTCTGTCCTCCAAGGGCATTACATGACACAGGTGCACTTATACACACACACACACACACACACACACACACACAAAACCACACATTAAAAAAAAAAGCCAGGCTTGGTGGCTCATGCCTTTAATCCCAGCACTCGGGAGGCAGAGGCAGGCAGATCTCTGTGAGTTCAAGACCAGCCTGGTCTACATAGTTCCAGGTCAGCTGGGGCTACAAAGAGCCCCTGTCTCAAAAAGACCAAAAAAATTTGTAAACGTGTCTATTATAAACATTTTAATAAAAATGCTTTGTTAACATTTTATCTTAGCTGTGGAAATTGGGTGGGTGGATTTTCTTACTCTTTTTCTCTCTTTTTTTATTCTTTCTTTTAAATAGAATATCTCGAGTCATTTGAGGTTTTAAAGTTTTAAATTTTTAAGTTTCAAAGTGTAAGAAGTGTGAATGGCCTAGTTGGTTCCCTCCCTCTTCCTCGGTTATATAGAAAGAAAGCCATAGTTAAAAAGATAAGACAGGCCTGGGGATGTGGCTCAGTTGGTAAAATGCTTGCCTAGCATCCACAAAGCCCATGACTCTATCCCCAGCACTACATAGACCAGGAGTAGGTGGCACATGCCTGTAATATCAGCATTTGGAGGCTAAGGCAGGAGGGTTGCTGTAATTCTAAAGCTAGTCTGGGTTACAGAGTAAACCAGTCGAACAAATAGTTTAAAAAAAAAAAAAAAAAGCCAAGTAGCAAGCAAGCATATGTGGCCAACTGATAAAAAAAGCAGGCTTCATAGAAAAGTTTTAAGAGGAGCGCCCTTTCACTATGCATTCAGCTGACATCAGTGTGTATCTCATTTCCAATTGTGGTTCATAGCTCTTAGTGAGCTGAGTGTATAAATACTCTGTGGGGCCAGAGCATTTATAAACTCCCAAGCTAATGTAATGACTTGTAGAAAAAAACACCAGCACTTTTTGCCTAAACATCATTGGACCTGAAGTTGATTAAGCTTTTCCTAGTTTCATGTATTTCAAACAAGTCCATTTAAAATACTTCTGTACATGGTTGTACTCTTTTAAAATTTCTTTTTTTTCTATGTGTATGAATACTCTGCCTTCATGTAAGTGTACCCATGTGTGCAGTGCCCGTGGAGGCCTGAAGAGGGCGTTGGAGCCCCTGGAACTGGAGTTGCGGATATTGTTAGCTGCCATGTGGGTGCTGGGAATCAAACCTGGGTCCTCTGGAAGATCAACTAGTGCTCTTAACCACTGAGCCATCTCTCCGGGTCCCATAGTTGCACTCTTGATAGATAAAGCTATTGAGAACATGATTGGGAAGGAAGTAGTAGAGTAATGTAATCCACCTACAGAAGAAAGCCTGGGTCAGTTTGACTTCCAGTAATGAATGTGGGTTATAATGCAGACACTTGGGCTGTCACCCAGGTAGGTGTAACTGGAGGCATGGGCTTAGAAGCAGCAGGCACACCTCTATGAGTCTGTGGGACCAGTGACTCAGGGAACAGAACATTTCCTCTGGTTGCCCTGCAGAGTCCCTGAGGGGTCACTGCTTGAATCACCAGGTAGCACAGAGCAGTGATGACCACGTGACCTGTCAAAGGGTTTAGTTAGACTCAAGAAAGTAATGATGGACTCTGTGTGTGTGTGTGTGTGTGTGTGTGTGTGTGTGTGTGTGTGTCGTGTGCATGCATGCTCGAACCTCGTGTTGTTTATGCTGAGTGGTTAAGTTTCACCATTTAATACTGGATGAATGAAGTGGGTTTTTAATTCCTTATTTTTATTTTACTTTTATAGATGGAACTGTCAGAGGTCGAGACACAGATTGGAAAGAAGTAGGTATTTTTAAATATGAAGACTAACATTCATGATCCAGGAATAATGGAGAATCAGTAAAGAAGGGCATTTTTCACTTTAATATGATGTAATAGAATCAGCTTTAATTAAGTGTATTGTTAAATATTTGTAAATGAAAATGTTTTCGACTTTAGACTTAGTCCTTGTTTTCTCATAATCATAGAGAAAAATCTTAATGCAGTTTTCATCTAAACACAAAGGAGGCTTTTTTTCCCACAAAAAATTTGAATTGTCTTTGTGCTGGGTTAGGGTTAAGTGTTAGCTAGTTAGCATGGTACACTGTGAAAAGAATGAAAGAACTGCTTTTTTCTGCAGCTTGTTGCTGTAAAAGATACTGCTAGGCCTGAGAGACGCTCCTGGAGTGAAGGGGCGTCCTTAGACACACTGAGTGCACAGCGCTGCTCTGAGTGAGTGCTCTGGTCTCTAAAATTGAGATCCACTAAGGACATAATTTAGGTGAAAAAATTAAGTTGCCCTTCACTCTTCAGGTACCTGAACTTTATTCATAGCATGATACTTTCCACAAATATCTAAATTCCCACAGCAGAAAAGGCTAACCTAACTCACTTATCAGCCTGGGAGCTCTAGATCACATTCTGAAAAGTACCTGTCATTGAGTTAGCCCACCTGTGGATTTATTGTTACCTCAGACTAGACAAGAGCTGGGCGGTGCTTAAAGAACAGAGCTCACTTGACTGTGTCTGGAGATGCTGCCCTGATCATGTGGCTAGGAACTGATACCAGTTGTGTTCCATGCACTGCTTTGTCAGCCCAGACAGTATGGGAAAAGAAAAGTATAGATCCGCTTACAGTGAATGCAACTTAGAACTTAGGGATAGCCTCCAAACCACTTACCATAGCACCATGCTTTTTTTTTTTTTTTTTTTTTTTTTTTTTTTTTTTCTACAGCTGTACAGAAAGAGGCACATACAAAGAAAAGAGGCTCAGAGAGCACGGCATGCGATGTTCTTGCCACCGCCAGCCCACCCCATCCCGTTCTGTCCCAACCCCTTACATCCCAGGCCCTTTCTTCCCACTTCACTCCTTCCTCCCGGAATCATTGGTGGTGAATATGATGAAAGACCAATAATTCCCTGTGTTGGGGATCCAATCAATTCACTCATCCCAGGGCCAGGGTCTACACCTAGCCAGTTCCCTCCACTCAGACCACGTTTTGATCCAATTGGCCCTCTTCCAGGACCAAACCCCCTCTTGCCAGGAAGGGGTGGCCCCAACAGCAGATTTCCCTTCAGACCCAGCAGGGGTCGGTCAACTGACAGCAGGCTACCATTCATGTAACTGATTTGCATTCTCCCCTTGGAGCTCCGTTTTGTTAAAGCTACATATGCTATTTCCTCGCGTGCTGATCTATAGTGTCATTTTCTGGTTAGGGCAGTGAGAATTGGACTCCCAGAGCCTTTCAGTGGATATGTTCATGGTTTCAGGGGTGCTAAGCCCAAGCTGACCTATCAGGGATGGCTTTGGGAATAGTTGGCTACTGACCTCTCTGTTCTGGATTCCCCATGTGGATGGAGCTTGTGATACTGATAATGTTCTGTGCCAGATGAATAAAAATAAAAGTTACACGGCAGTCTTGACTTTTACTACACATGTATCCCATAGTCAGACCAGATTCACAGTGTTACTTGTATATTAGAATTATCAGAATCTACTGATTGTAGGGAGGTGATTGAATATAGGAATGTTCTCTGTTGTTTTGCTTTTCTGTGGTATTCTGTAATGTGAAAGCTCAGCTTATAAACCCTAGTAGTAGAGCTAGTTTGGTTGGACTTGGAGTGGGCCCGCTTTTCCTTCCTTGGCAGCCTTTTCTGGGTTCTGTGGGGAAGCTCAGGGCTCTGAAGCAGCAGTGTCTGAAGACCACCGCGCTAGTACAGCTTCCTTCCCCTGTGCTTCCCCCCTTGTGTTTTGAACCCATTGTGTCTAAGGAGACAGTGTCTTTAAAGAAATTTATGTGTTTGTAAATGTACCTGTGCATGCAATGCCTGGAGAGACCAGAAGAGGGCATCGGATCCCTTGGAACTGGAGTTACATATGGACAGCTGTTAGCCAGGATGTGGAACCGAACCTGGGTCCTCTGTAAGAGCAGCCAGTGCTCTAATGCGCTCAGCATCTCTCTCCAGCCCCAGAGAGACAAAATACCAGCAGAGTTCTTTGAGTGATGTTAGATATTTGTTCTTTAGAGATAGCCCCTCTTATTAGAAGGTTTTGCTTTTAAAACAAAGTACTCAAAATTCAAGATTTATTTTTTTTTTCTACATCAAGAAAAAAGCCCAAGCACAAATGACTTATACAAACAACTATAGAAGCATGCTATAGTGACAGGAATTAAAATCTGAACTACAATATAGGAATAAATACTCTTAGCATCTGCAGAAAATAGGAATATTGCCAGTGTCTTCCTGCTTTTTAGGAAACCTGTTTTGCACATAAGGAAATAACTTGGAATGTGTGCTGCAAGAATGTTCTGAATCCTATATACAAGTGAGATTTAATTTTTTTGGCTACACGTGTGTTTTGAGTCTTTCCATCACAGTGAAGAAAATTCAGTCTGATTTTTCTAGAAGCGTGTGTGACCTTTAGCACAGGGAGAGGACTGGGGCAGTTGATATTTCTGTGGTATTATATGATATCTGAGCTACAGGGCAGCCTTTTTTTAAGTGTCCAGTGTTTGCCATAGATCTTTATTTGGGTTTGACTTGAAGGATCCCCCTGAAGTTTTGATGGGCCTAGGTTCTACTTTTCCAGTATGTATCTTTGTGGTCTGTACGTTAAGTTCTGCATGGTGTGTTGTGTAGGTGTAGGCATGGGAGACAGTGAACACCAGAAACACTGACACAAGTTTACAGAACAGTTCTTTTCTTTTTTTTTTTGTTTTAGACAATCAACTTTTTATATATATTATCTTTATTTTATGTGTATGCGTATATTGCCTGCATGTAGGTAAGTGCACCCCTGTTGTGCAGTGCCTGCAGAGGTCAGAAGAGGCTGTCAGATCCCCTGGAACTGGAGTCAAAAGCAGCTGCCAGCTGCCATGTGGGTGCTGGGATTCAAACCCGGCTCTTCTGCAGGAACAACCAGTGTTCTTAACTACTGAGCCATCTCTCCAGCCCCAGCCATCTCTCTAGTCCCTAGAACAGTCATTTTCAAATGGCTCTTGGGAGGCCCTGATGGTGCTGACATCTTGGGACACAGATACTGTTGTTCAGTTTTACTTTGGCCTTACTGGCAGGTGTTACAAATCTGAGTTGCAGTATTAGTAGAGTTGCCCTAAACCTAGAGTTGGGCACCTCAAAATAGCTTCTTACAAATAGTCAAAGCATTTCTTCTTGACTATTAGCTCATTTTGTATGCAGATGCTTGTAAAATCCTGTGTTCTTGTCAGACTTCTGAGTTTGTGTATTGCTGATGACATGAAATCATGGCTTGGCAGCAGCTTGGTCACTGCATGGCTTTTGGAGATCTCCATATGTCATAATGGGAGCATAATAGCCTAGACGCCCATGGTGAGCACTGGAGAAGGGTACAGAGAGCTGTAGCACATTGGCTTGTGACCTCTATGTCTCTCTCTGCCCCTAATTTTCCCTTTAATCATTTTGTATTACTAGGAACTTGCATCTCTCTCCTTCCCAGTATTTATAAATGAAAACTGCCCATTGGCATGGCTGGTAGTTGAGTCTTGAGAAGTGCCCTTTCCTTCCAGTGTATGTTGTGACTCGCTGTGTAAAAACCTGAATTCTGATCTCTCTAGCTCTTCCCTGGTTATTCCCATTTGCTGAGGCCACTGCTTAATTTGGTATCACTACAAGAGCCTGATGGAGGTAGATGTGCCTCCCTCTTCCTCTGCTCAGAGCGGGTTCCAAAGCCTGTCTTCCTCCTACCCCACCCATTCGCAGAGCCTTGGAGAAGAGCTGGGCAGGCCCCTGGTTCTTTGCTGTGCCCCGGCATGGGCAGTGCTCCATATGGATAAGGTTATTTATTGCAATGCTCTAGGTTAAGTCATGTAAAGAGATTGTAGTTTCACCTGTGTTTGTATGTGCACATGGGTCTCTCACTTGACCTGGAACTCTGATTAGGTTAGACCAGCTGGCCAGCGAGCTTCCAGGATCCACTTATCTCTGCCTCCCTAGTGCTGAGATTACCAATGCTACTGAGATGACCCGGCTCCTGTGGGTTCAGGGAATCAAACTCAGGTCCTCATGCTTGCCATAGCAAGCACCTTATTGATTGGACTATCTTCCCAGTCCCAAAAGATTTAATTTTAACTGACTTGTTTTTTTCTACTGGGATTCTGGCATGAGTTGTAGTGCTTATACATAGTTTTGGGAAGCACAGCAGTATTACTTTGTTTTGGGGAGCACAGAAATGTTACTTTGTTTTTCTCTAGACTCAACAAAAAGCTGTGCACGATTTTGTTTTGTTCCTGTGTCTCAAACCCTTAGGTCTGACTATGAGGCTGAGTGTGCATGCCTCATCAGTTTGGGCTACGTGCTTTGTGGAAACACAAGGGAGCTTCTATGTTCTTTATGCACTGTGCCTGATAAATGGACCAATTTGGCTTGCTTGTCGCCCAACCTTCTCATTTGTCTCCCATCAAGCCCGAAGTGCTGCCTCCGATTAGAGTCTAAATATTAGACTGAACTTAATCAGTTGGATGCACAGGGGTCTAGGATAGCTTCCGACACTTGTCAGCTTAGTTAGCAACCAGCCAGCTTGGCTCTGGGATAAAGAAATGGGATGTGTGTGAAAGGGCCCAGGCAATGAATGGGCTAGTCCCCGCACTAATTAAGTTACCACTTGTATGTGCAAGGATGGCTTAACCAGCCAGCCCGTGACTAACCTGCAGCCTTTTACCAGTTCAGAGTGCACAAACAAAATGAGCCACCAAGCTGATTTTGGAAGCTGAATAAAGCACGAGGGATCAGCCTGTGGCTGGTGCTGGGAGGGGTGGGCACTGGGTCCTAGGGCTTGTTTGGAAAGCTGGGAAGTGTTTGGTTGTCGGGGCAAATGTGTAGAAGGCCACTTCCTATCCTGGATCTTGGGCTTTTTCTGTGCAAGTCTCAGTGCCATGGTCTTAGAGTGCTCCCTGCCACCTCTGACCTACACTGCCATGGCAACTCCCAGTGTGGCAACCCTGCGGTCCCGTGCCTTCATGTAGCCCTGGGATTACTCTCACTGGGGGCCAGTGTCTCTCTCTTATTCTGTCTTCTCCCCTTTTCAGAGTCCTTGCAGAAGAGGTGGTTGGGCATTAAAAAACATAAAACCTGCCACTGATTTTTGTTTTCCTCATTTCTCTATTTTCTCATTTTATTAGCCCCAGGTGACTTTCCGGCACTGACACACTTAAGAAAACATCCCCTTTCTCCAATCTTAGTACATCGAGTACACTTTATTAATTTCACAACTTTCCAGGAGAGTGTGTCCTGAACACCTGACTCTGCCCAGCAGCTGCTTTGAGTTGTTGCTCCCTGGGCCTGTGTCAGATCTCTGGCAGCTTGCGTCTCCACTGCGCCTTTCTGCGCCTTTCTCGGATATTCAGAGAATTCCTGGTGGCAGTGGATATTTAGTTGTCCAAGGTTTGCTGCTGATCTGTTATGTGAGTAAAGACCTGTCACGCCTGAAACTTGGGGAATAGAACTGACTGCAGTGGACGCAGCAACCCAGAGGCCTCAGGCAATTAAGGGAAAAGAAATGGTGTGCATATTCAGTGCCCCCAGAGCTGATTCTCCATCAGCCACAGCACAGCATCATCTAATGTTGACGGGAGGAAGTTCTGGGAGAAGCTTGCTCTGGCTGGTAGAGGTGCCCTTGGAGGCTGTTGTTTGTAAGTCCCTGTTCATTGTGCACAGATTGAATGGGTCTTTTTTATGTCTCAGCCTTACTAAGTCAGCTTGGAGGGAAAATGCTAGCCTTCCTTTGGGTCAAAGTTGTAAAACAAAGCAGAACACAACATATAACGTTTCAGAGTCTATGCACAGAGACTTTCCCCATTTACCCTTTTCCATTTCCAAATGTCACAATTATTAAAGGTTAAATTTTTGGAAGGAACATGTGCTGGTCTATGGGTGAAAACGGTCCATTTGGAAGATCTGTGATCTCCAGGAGACCTGTATATACCCGTGCCTCCATTTTCATGTCCAGGCCAATTGGAAATCCATTTAAACATGCTGACGACAAGCTGGTGTTACGTCATGGATAAAACATATATGCATAGTTATAAAAATCAGGATGCTTGGTCTGATCAGAATTTGAAAGGCTTTTGTGCTACTGAAGGTGAAGTCCCAGAGTGATGTCGTTGGAAACTGAGATGCTGCGTTGCTTCAGGGACAAGGGACAGAATACAGGCCGAAACATTTGGCCACATAGGCTTGTTTATAGAGCCACTGGTTTTGCTGATTAAAGGGCAGGTACCTGGCAGAACTGGTGACAAGCACATCTATCCTAACCCTGTGTCAGGCCTGTGGCCCAACTGCGGCAGGCCTCCAGAACACGCAAGGCTGACCAAGCCACAGGTTCTAGGCCTTCTGACCACAAGTTCTAATTCCTTTGTTCTGAGGCAAAACCTCTGCCTTTATAACTAGTTCTGCTCAGGGATGTGGCCCATACTTTGGGAAAAAAATCACCTAGCCTCTTATCACTTAGCTGTGTGTCTGGAGCTGTTTTGTTACTGGTCCTTGTCTGAGACTGTTGAAGAGTGATGGCTGTCACGTTTCCCGTGTTCTTAGTTGCCTAAAACATGGCCTCTGTGATGTTACTCCTAGACCTACAAGTCTCTCACTATTTTTCAGAATACAGCACAGCATTGTTTCTGTGAAAGAGCTACCTGTGAGTAGTGGGATGTATGTGTATGTCTGTGAGACTGCTGGAATCTTATCATAGACTCCTAGGGGTAAAGCCCCTAGTCCTGCTACAGGAGCAACTGCCATAGCCAGGAGTCCAGATCCTTCAGATCTTGTGAGGCTGGTGCTGTTTCCCTCCACATGTGCCTCATGTGAGCGGGTCCTGACTTCTCAGGCTGCTGGAAAAGCATCTGCTATTGAAGCTCATTACCAGGAATGCCCTAGGAAGAAGACTACATTCTAAATGTGTCCATTCTTGTTGATAGCTACGCATGGTGTGTGTGTGTGTGTGTGTGTGTGTGTGTTTGTGTGTGTGTGTTGGGAGGAGAGAACTCACAGGATTCTTGACTGGGGTGGCTGATGACCAAGCCTTACTTACATTCTCCAGCATTCACACTGTCTTTTGCTGAGCCCACAGTAACAGACTAGCTTTGACATTTTGAATCTCACCTCCCTGACTCCTTCCTGGGGCCTCACCTGGCTTTCTTCACAGTTCCAGGAAGAAGTATCAAGAGAGGAGGAGGAACAGGAGGCAGAAGCAGTGTTCTGTGGAATGATAGACCGACCTTTTATCTTCCTTTAGATAACCTACTGAAAGCATGGCTATAGGGGAGCTGGCCTCAAGATCTCTTCCTGTCTCCACTTTGGGGGTCCCAGAGATGATACCCTGTCAGTGATGCTTGTGTGTGTGCCTGCTGGGTCACCCTGCTGACCCGGAGATGCATTCTGGAAATTTCTGCCAGCCTCACTCTATGTCGGAGCAGAGGTTGAACAAAAGGAGGGAGATAGACACTGAGCTCATTGTGTTCCATAGGCACCAAACCCATTGGGACCTAGAGAGGAATAGAGAGGGTTTTGTGGGTGCTGGGAAGGGTAGCAGGCTCTTGGCAGTTCACTCCTCACTTCACATCATGGCAAATTTGCTGTTGATCCTAATCAGTTCCTACCAGGCCCAAACCCTTCGGTCTCTAGATGCCAAATTACAACTCCGGTGGCCACTGGTAACTGGACCTACATGATCTTTTCTATGCCACAGCTGCTATTTGGAATCCCAAATGAGAGGCAGAGGAGGCAGCAATTCTAAAGCAGCACTATTGACTTGATCACGAGTGAGGGAAGAGGCCAAGGAAGAAGGGGACGACCCTAAGGGCCAAGTGGATCTCTGCAGTCGGGCCAAGCTAGCACTTTTGATGCTGAGCTGATCACTAGCCAGTAACTATCAGAAAACCAGCTTGAAGGTATATTTGCCTCAGACACAGGGTTCTAAGTGACCCAAGGCAGGAGAGAGACTCTTCTAGCCTTATTTCTGCCACTCTAGTTTGGGCTGGGAGGACCAAAAAGTGATGACTGTTAGCTGAGTGGTGGCTTGTCCTGTCTTTCCAGCATGTGGAAGGTGGAGGCAGAAGATCTGCTACACGTTTGAGACCAGCATGGGATACACAGTGATTTCTAGGCCAGCCTGGGCTGCTGAGCGTGTCTGTTTCAAAAAAAACCAAAATAAACCAAAATAAAACGTGGTGACTGCTCTTATATGCTCCGGGACTTGGAAAGGCCTTGGCTGATCAAGCAATCTACAGACCTTGAGCATCACTGGAAGCTGCTTTACTTCATACCTCTTCCCTCCCTTTCCTTACACAGTGAGGGAACGACAGCTCAAGTTACGAAGGGGAGGGGCAATACATATAACATGGCTATGTTCTGAAGTCCTCTTGGGACCAAGGTGGGGGGCAATACATATAACATGGCTATGTTCTAAAGTCCTCTTGGGACCAAGGTGGGGGGCAATACATATAACATGGCTATGTTCTGAAGTCCTCTTGGGACCAAGGTGGGGGGCAATACATATAACATGGCTATGTTCTGAAGTCCTCTCAGGACCAGGAGGTGGCTTCTGGCACCTACAATGTTTCTAGCACCAGGTGCTTGGTGATGTGGGGCACCCCTGAATCCTACTGATCCTGGGACTGGGGAAAGCACTGGAAAAGGAGTCAGGATCACTTTGCCCAGCTCTGTGGTGAACTGTCTTAGTCACGTGGGTTAGGCTGAAACAAGGTTAGAGCAGGTTTCTTTCCTGCAGGAATTCAAAAAGCCTTTGACATGTGTCTTCTGTTTTGTGTCACCAAAAGAGAAACGTGCAGTGTCTCTGAAACCTACTCCACCAGGACACCCTTTGGAAATCCAGTGGCCTAGAGACATCTTGTACTGATCAGGTCAAATGCTGGCATATAGAATCCTATATAATTACTGCACCTTCTGATCCTGTGGCAGGGGTCTGTCCATTCTCTCTGGTTCCTTATGGTTTGAGGAGGAAAGAACAGCTTCTCTGGGAGGCCAGAGAGGCATAACCCTCCTGACCCTCTCCCTAGGGAGTTCAAGCTGTCTTCTCTGGACTCCTGCAAGGTATGTTGTTGGCTCTGGTTGTGGGTGACATTTTTCGGGTGTCCCTCTGCTTCTGTTCTGAAAGGCCCCACTTGTTGCATAGGGTCTGGCTTTTTTCTGTTGACATCAAGATCCCTTTGAAGGCCAGCTGTGATGGGGTCTTTGCCTGCCTGCTCCTAGGATAGGGCAAGCTTGCTTTAGCTGAGTGGTAGTTTCCTGGGCTGGGCTTTTCTATTTTTGTTTGCAAAAACACTATTAAAAATTATTGCCTCCTATGTTACTGAGGTCCGACTACAATGTCTGCATTTGATGAAAGTGGGCCAAGGCCTGTAAGGGGACTTCTGCCCAAAGGCAAGCAAAACACTAATAAGAATGCAAAAAACGAGTCACAGACATCTCACTTGGTATCGGCGGCAGGGGAGCAAGCAGATGGTGGGTGTAATGAAGGCTTGTTTGTCTAGAAGGCCTGTTTTGAGTACCCTAGAGGCTCTCAAAGGTCACTGATCAGTCAGATGGCATTGGAATGTCATGGCGAAGGAGATGGGAATGCCTGTGGATCACCAGTTCCTGGGTTAGAGGCCTAGAAAGCATGTTTCTGCCTGGAACCAAGGCCGAGGAGGAGGAAGATACAAGAGGAAGGCTCATGTCACCGAGTCTTCCTGCCTTCCTGCCCTACAGTCTGGGCAGGGGCTAGTCAGAGAAGAGGCTGGCGAAGGACTTTCTCAGATTGCGGATGGTCTCGGCCTTGGCCTCATCTTCACTTGTGGTCCCGCGCTGGGAGGTGTCTGACGTGCTGAGGCTGTTAGTCAGGGACTGAGATTTGCTGAAACAAAGTGAGGGGTTGAGATGGTCACAGCTGAGAATCTCAAGGAAGGAAAAGAGTCTGTCGCTGGCCCTTAAGCCTGTTGGCTAAGCCTGGTTACCATAAGGATGGTGAGACCAGAAAGCGGGCATCATGGTGCCTATATGATGGTAGCCCAGAATCTGCAAGGTGCTGTTATTTTTTTTTGAATACAGAAATGGGGCTCACAGAGGCAAGCACTTGCTCTGATGGGGTCCCTGCAAGCAGTGGGGATCACACACTGTTCACCCCCTCCCCTGGTGTGTGGTGCATGGGAGACTGAACCCAGGGCCCTCACGCATGCTAGGCAAGCGCTCCACTACTGAGCTATTTCCCCAACCCTCTTTTTGTTTCTTATTTCTTATTTTAAGACGGGCTCATTAAATGGCTCAGGCTGGCCTTGAACTTGAGACCTTTGCTTAACCTCCTGAGTAGCTGGGATTAGAGGCTTGTGCACCAGGCTTGGCACATACATATATTTTAAAGATATATCCCATGCAATATTTAGGGCATACTTTAACTGAAAGTTACTGTTTATCTGAAATTCAAATATTCTATTTTATCTTGAAACTCTGTAGAAGACACCAGTATTAGAACTGTCCAGCTAAGTTAAACTCAGAACAAGTTGCTGAACCAAAAATTTGTGAGCCAGTGTCCTAGTTACCTTTAACTTAACTTGACACAACCTGAAAAGTCACCTGAGAAGGGGTCTCAATTGAGATATTTCCCAGATCAGACTGGCTTGTGGGTGTGTGTCTGTGGAGCTGTTAATTGATGTAGGAGGGACCAATCCACTGTGGGCAGCACCACTCCTTGGGCAGTTCATTCTGGGCTGTATAAGAAAGCTAGCTGAGCACGAGCCTGAGAGTGAGCCAGCAAGCAGCATTCCTCCATGGTTTCTGCTTCAGTTCCCGCTTGAGTTCCTACCCTGGCTTCCCTCAATGATGGACTGTAACCTAAATGTTAAAATAAACCTTCCCTGAGTTGCTTTTGGGTAGAATGTTTCATCATAGCAACAGAAAGTAAACTAGAACAACCAGAAAGACCTTTTTTTTTCTTCAGCTAGGAAGTTTTGGGGTGGTGTGTTACACAGCAAGTGATAACCAATGCATAGTAAGACATGGTTGGGCCCAATCTGTACTCTCATATTGCTGGTCCCTGATACACAAAGGCCACCCTATTTAAATTCTAGGCAAGGCCTGGTTGGGTCCTTTGTCTCCAAGTTCCTGACCCAGAATCAGTTCTGCTCTGTCCATTCCCAGCTCCAGTCTATACCCATTCAAACTCTGAACACTTACTTGAGGTGGGGGTGAGGTGGTGCTGGCTTGTGGGGCTCTTCACCCTGATGGGAGGTGCTGCGGCCCTGCACAGGGGGCCTGGGCTGCGAGCTGAGGCTGGCACCTGGCTTGGAGGCCTGGTTTGGAGAGCTGCCACCAGATGCCCGGGATAGCTGTGGAGAGCCTGGTGACCTTTGCTGCTGTGGAGATCCTGACTGGGGGCTCAGGGGCTGCTGGCCTTGTGGAGAGAGCCTCTGTTGGGATGGGCTTCTAGATCTGGGGGGCTGAGGAGACTGAGCTTGACGAGGGCCCCCTACAGACCAAAGAAAGAGTCAAATTTCAATGTGTCCTTAAATACTGCTGAACATGTATGTTCATTATAGAGTTGTTTATAAACGGTGAGAACTGAAAACAATATAGTTGCCAGACCATAGGGAAGTAATTAGGAACATTAAGAAACATCCAGATGGTGGGGATATAGCTCAGGTGGTAAAGTACTTGTCTAGCATGCATGAAACCCTGGGTTTGATTCCTAGCACTGCATAAACCAGGTGTGGTGATGAGTATCTGTAACCCCAGCATTCAGGTGGCACAGCCAAGAAGGTCGAAGGTCAAAGTTCAAGCTCACCCTCAGTGGCACAGGGAATTCAAGACCAGCCTGAGCTACTGAAGATTGTGTGTCAAAAGCACAGGACAACACAACAAAAAGATACATCTAGATGATGGAATATGATGGGCTGATCATCATGTGTTGTCAGGATAAAGTTAGCTGGCTGACATGTTGATAGTATGTTCTTAATATCCACCACTAAACAGAAAAAAAGGCAACTTATAAGTCAGTATATCACAAATGTATAGAGCCATGTAATAAATATTGGAAAGTTGCACATTAGAACTGGTGAAACTCAAAATTTATGTGTATATGGATCTCTGGGGCAATCACATCAAGAGAGAGATTTGGTGTGGTGGTATGTATTTAACTGTATTTCCTCTTAAATCCAAATGTTGATCCTCTCACCTTCAATGTGACTGTATTTGGTGGCAGAGTCTGTAAGGAGGTAGTTAAGGTTGAAGTTTGTAAGGGTATGAGGCCCTGATCCAGAAGGGATGGAATCTTTATATGAAGAGGAAGAAACATCAGGGATGTGTGTGAAGTCAAGTGTGGTGGCTCACACCTGTAATTCTACCACTTGGGAGGCTGAGGCAGGAGGGTTGTGGCAAGTTTGAGGCCATCCTTGACCATACAGTGAGTTTCAGAGCGAGACACTTTCAAAAACAAAAAACAAAATTCCCACTTAGAACTCGCTTTTGCTAATGAGGGCGAGGACAAGGAATGGACTTTGTCAAGTAATGGACTCTGTGACTATGGAAATGAGAAAGGGGCCTGAGGTGAAGGCAAGTCCCAGGTATGACCAAGGAAGCAACCTTACAAACTGCTAGGGGACACTGTGCGGGAGAACAGGTTGAATGTTTCTAGAGCTTCCTGGAAATTGACCAGGAGAGGAATGAGGACTTAAGATACACTCTGGATGTTTAAGTAAAAGTTACTGATTTTTGTATGTCGTCTGCCTTTCTGTTTTCTAAACTCACTGTGGGTCAAACAGAACATCTATTTTCTTCTCTCTCTTAAGCCCTCTGCTGTCACCCCTAGGTTGATACTATTGGAAAAATCTGTAATAACCCATTAATTATTTCTTTAAAGTTTATATTTTACTCCTGGGATCCATCAGGAAACACCCTGATTATTTTTTACAGTTTCTTGGCAAAGCAAACAATTTAGAATTTTTTATTTGAGCATATACAAAAAATATTAACTTATATTGAGAAATATTGAGATTTGCCTAAGCACCGAACAGATGTTAAAAAGGTAAAGTTTATGAAAAAAACTTCATGAGTTTGAAAATGACTAGGGATTTCAAAACAAGTTAATAATGTGATCCTGTTATTTATAGAAATTGGTGAAAATGTTTTTAAGTTAGCCTTGTTTTTTTTCATTCTGAATATTAATTCACTGAGTGTTTCCTTTAATTACCTTAATTGGTTTTAAATTGATTATTTTTCAATTCACTCACATGGTGTTTAGCCACATGTTCCCTAAAATAATATCTCTTTATCAAGCCTGCTTCTACTCTGAGCCAGAGAGGAAATCAGGATACAGTAGCTCTCTGTTTTTTAAAAGGGTGCTGCTCAAAATGGTTTTAAAGAGTCAGTCGCAGGCAGAATGGGAAAGTAGGGGGCAGGGCAGAGGCAAGCCAGGAGCTTGGGAGGATGATGAATAAGGGGAGTTTGGACTATTTATAACTATGGAATTATTGCCAGGCAGGAGGGGAGAAGGGCTGTGTATGTCAGAAGAGTTGTTAATGACAACTACTAAAAGCATTCAGTCAATGAGAATTTCAGGTATGACAGAAGCTATTAATAGTAAGAACTGCGTAATTATTATTGATTGTAAATTATTACCACCCCTGTGTTAGACCATTGCTTATGGCTCTTTCTGGATCATCCTCCTTATTCAACATGGCAGGCATTATTTCCTCTGTTGTCACTGGGGAAACTGAGGTTTGAAGAGGTGATGTCATTTGCCTAAACTAGAAAGTTGGAAATCATGCAACTGGATTCAAGTGCTGTTATATCTGCCTGGAGAACACTACTGTTGATGATACACAGTTGGCTTTACTTTGGATGGTAAAATCCCCCCAAAGCTGTGTGATTTAGAGGCTTGGCCCCAGCTCATGGTGCTCTGGAGATAAATGGAAGGGATGGAGCCTAATGGAAGGAAGTTAGGATGGTGGGGGGTATGCCCTTGAAAGGGAGCTTGGAAAGTTGACCCCTTTGTCTCTCTGCTTCTTAGCTGCCGTAAATGGTTAGCCTTCCTCTGTAACATGTTCCCACTGCCCCGAATACTGTGTCACCAAGGCCCCAACCACAGAGCTGAGTGACAGTGGACTTATGAAACTGGAGCCAAAATAAAGTGTCCACCCTTTTAAGTTGATTTTAGGTATTTTGTCATAGTGATGGTAAACTGCCCAGGACAGAGAGGTAGATTCTCATGTCGTCTCCTTTAAATTTTTTTTTCTAAGATTTTATTTTATTTTATTTTATTTTATTTTATTTTATTTTTTGTCTTTTTGAGACAGGGTCTTCCTGTAGTCCCAGCTGACCTGAACTCACTATGTAGACCAGGCTGGCCTTGAACTCACAGAGATCCGCCTGCCTCTGCCTCCTGAGTGCTGGGACTAAAGGCGTGTGCCACCACGCCCGGCTTAAGATTTTAATTTTATATGTATGAGTGCTTTGCCTGCATGTGTGTATGTGCACCATGAACATGCCTGGTGCCTCTGGAGACCAAAAGAGGGCACCAGATTCCTTGGAAATGGAGTTTCACAGACAGATGTGAGCCACTGTGTAGGTGCTGGGAGCTGAACCTGAATCCTCTGGAAGAGTAGGAAGTGCTCCTAACCACTGAGCCATCCCTCCAGCTCCATGATATCTCCCTTTTCTTAAATACTTGCTTTTCCCAGGAAAGAAACATAGACAGGAAGGATGGAAGGCAAGCCCTGTATGAGGCTAGCAGGTTAATGTTCACCAAATGCTACTGTTTACTGTAAAGGGATCTGAGCATTCAAACTATGGAGACCTGTCAGTATAGAGAATAAAATAAACTTCTGGAAGCAATACTTGGAAATAAATGGGGGAAGCTAACTGTGGCCTCTAGAATGAACAGAATTTTGAATATGTTATATTCATATTTTTGGCCTGTTTGTATTTGTGTGCATATGTGTAGGGGTTGTGCACATGTGACAATGAATAAACATGCACATGTGTGTGGAGGTCAGAAGTCAACCTCTATTTTTGCTCTTTTTGAGACAGGGTCTCCCTGTAACCCCAGCTAGCCTGGAACTCACTATGTAGACCAGTCCTGCCTCTGCCTCCCAAGTGCTGGGACCAAAGGCATGTACCACCCAGCTTTGTCCTCATTTTATTGAGACAGGTCTCTCACTGGCTAGACTGGTTGGCCAGCTCACTCTAGAGAGTCTCTCTGTCTCCACCTCCCCAGCTCTAGGAAACAGTCAACTTCAAATTCATTTATATGAAAAAAGTAAGCAAATATAAAGAATTATATTGTGTAAATAACAGTAACGAGGAAAGGGAAGAAGAAAGGAAGAGAGAGAAAGGAAGAGAAAGGAAAAGAGAGAGATGAAAGAGAGGAAGGGAGGGAGGGAAGGATGGAGAGGGAGGCATTTTGTCTAGACCTGTGGAAGAGGAAGCCATCTGGTGCCCAAGGCCCATTTTCCCCAAGAAGCACTGAATCTGTGGCTTTAATAAGCATAACTAGGAAGGCCAGGACAGGACAGAAATGCCTTCTTTCTGACAGATTTTGGAGCAGATCCTTACAAGATTGCAAAGAGACCACCTGCCCCGGCTTCTCCATGCCAAGCTACTCTGAAGCCCCAGCTGGCCCAGGGCAAGGAGGGTACACATGCTGCTCTATTGCAAGCGAGATGCTTGGCAAGTGTCCACCCGAGCCCATGTGTGGGAGCTCTCCATGGCTGACCTTCCTCTGCAAGTCCTTTTAGCTAGTCTCATGCCTGCCCCCCGCCCCCGTTATCTATTCATCCCATACCCATCCTCCACCAGTGCTGACACCTATGTAGTAGTGCTGGAGTATTCTTGAGGAAGAATTTCAACGGGTGAGATTATAGATAATGTTCTGGCCTTCTTGCCTTTTTATGTCTTTTTTCCCCTTCATTCTAAGTGGTTGGCTCACAAATCTATAATCAGGCACTACTAGTGGCTAGAAATAAACACTTTCCAGAAGGTTTGGAAGACCAGGATTGTAAACCTGCCATTTTCTTGTGCCTTCCTGGGCAAAGCTTCAACTTCCTACTTGGGAAAAGGGAAACACTGATGCTTGCTCTGTAGAGGGGCTAGAAGGATGAAAATGGTAGTTTAGTTGAGAAAAGGCCTAGCACAGGGCCTGACATGTTGAACACTTAATCATTCTGTTCCCCTTCCCTTCTCCTTTCCTGACTTTAGGGGATGGCAGTGCTCCTACTGGTTTTCATTTAGCAGATAGAGTGAGCACTTATTACCCGCAGATAAAGAATCAGAATGGAGTTTCCAGATTGCCTTCTGCATGGTCACCAGACATTGGGTGTCTTCCTCCATTACTTTCTGCCTTACCCTTGAGACATGGTCTCCCACTGAACCTGAAGCTTGCCTTTTCAACTAGACTAGCTGGCCAGCAAATTTCCAAGGTCTTCCTGTCCTCTCCCCTCTATCCTCTCAAGGCTGGGGCTACAAGCATACACAACCATGCCCGGTTTTTTATGTGGGTGCTGAGGATTTGAACTCAGGTTCAAATGCTTACACAGCAAGTTCTCTTATCCAGTGAGCCATCTTTTGCATTTCAATATGCTCACTGATATGGTGTTTCTCGGTGGCTGTCCTGAGTCTTACCTTGTGGAGGTGGCCGTGGCTGGGGCTGTCCTAGCTGAGGCCCCAGATGACCTTGTCCTGGGGATTTTGTTGGTTTAATGTGTGGACCCTAGAGCAAGAGAAGAGAAAGAAATCCTGTGGCTATGGCCATAGCCATTTGCTTTCTGGGTGGGAGCAAGACCATTATATCCCTGAGGTCAAACCTGCGATGCATAGTCCTTCATTGTGCCTCCTGATAGAGTTTTACCTGTCTGTGCATCAGTGTGGCACAGCTGAAGACATCAGCAGCTCTGTGGAAAATGTTACCTGTGCCTCCTCCCTTCTAGCAGCCCCTTGAGTTTAACTACTATTCTTGTGGCTATTAAGAGATGAGTTTTTGTGGAAAAAGCAGGGGCTAGGGTAGGGGCAGGATTTGAGACTTGCCTCCTCAGAAGGCTGGGGAGCTGGCAAATTTTTTGGATAGTGGTCTGGTTGTCCCTGGTGGGGCCTGTGTGGGGGAAGGGTTGGAGCTGATTGGCTTTGGGGATGGGGAAGCAAGATACAAAATAGTCTGTGTTGATTGGTGCCCTGGAAACATACAAAGGGCATATGTGTACATGCGTTCTTGGACATATACGTGCGTACTCTCCAGCTCAGACCTGAGATGGGGGACCTGAAGATGACAACTGTCAACAATCTGTCCACAGTCACCCAAAGGCCAGTGGGACAAGAGTTTATTCCCTAGGGTACAAGAGGCAGGAAGGGACTTCTGGAAAGTAGTACTCAATCCATGAAGCCATGCTAGTCTCCTCCATTCCCTTTTACCCAAGGTGAGTCCCACCCTGGGGTATCTTCATTGAATCCTGGGGGTTTCCATTTCAGATACTGGCATTTGTCAGGGCCAGTAATCTCCTTTGTTCCTGAGAGAGACTTACCCAGGGTCTCAGGGGAGAGGGCACTGTGCATCCTGGCACCAGAAGTTGGCTCATCTTGGAGACAACAAGGTCGGCCATTAACTGTTTGTCTTCTTCCACATGTTCTCCAATCAGTGGCATTGAACTGTCCATGACCTAGGGGGAGAGAAAGCAAGGCAGGGCTGAGAGACCCTGAGCTAGGGCTGCTTGGCCTTTGGGCCTCATTTCTCTCAGGAGTGCTGACTTTGGGCTCAGGATAGAATGACCACTAGATGGTGATGTCCGCCATGCAAAGCACCCAGCGAGGTCCCTGTAGCATGTTGGGTCCCCAACTGACATCCAGTTCCCTCCAGTTCCTTCTAAACTGACTCCCTGGACTAGGTTCAATTCAGCTTCCAACTACAGAAATGCTGCAGCAATGTGACCAAGGGATGGGGAGCACTTGCTGACTTTTTCTGTGCTTTTCTTTGGGGAGCCGGTCTCCACCCCCTCCTTTCCCACCCCAGCTCCCTCCCAGGGTTGGGGCTGGCCTTCTCTCCTCTGGCCCAAGGTCAAGGCTGTCCTCAAAGCTGGAAACAGTTAAGACAGGGGCTTGATCATAACAACAAAAATGACAAGGGCTGGAAGTGACCCAGGGTTTACAGAGAAGACGGAAGAGGAAAGAGAGGGCTGTTCTGGGGGCCCTGGCAGGACACAGGCCTGTAGTGAAACTCGTTCCCTTGGGGAGCCAGGCTGTTTTTAAGGAGAGTGCATGGCCTTGGGAGAGCACATTTTCCCAGTCTACTCTTGTAATAGATGGAGAAACTGAGGCCCAGAGATGAGAGGCACTTGCATGAGTTTATGTAGGTCAACAAGCCAGGTGATCACTGGGTACAGGCAGCAAGAAAAGGTCTTCAAGGAATGTCAGACCTTGGCAAACCTGTGTCAAAGCTATTGGTCAGCCGGGTGTGGTGATGTGTGCCTTTAATTCCAACACTCGGGAGGCAGAGGCAGGCGGATCTCTGGGAGTTCGAGGCCAGCTGGGACTACAGGGAGACCCTGTCTCAAAAAGACCAAAAAAAAAAAAAAAAAAAAAATTCTGGGGGGGTGTTTTTTTATTCAT